AATCTCACTGAAAGGTGACAGGGCCAGAAAGAGTTAATTAACTCCCAGACTGACCTGACCCATGGCCGAATTTTAAAGACTGGTTAGGAAGATATGTTTCTAATATATGGAGATATACCTATCTCCTAGAACTGGAAGGGACCCCGAAAAGTCATCTAGTCCAGCCCCCTGCCTTCACTAGCAGGACCAAGTACTGGTTTTGCCCCAGATCCCTAAGTGGCTCTCTCAAATATTGAGCTCACAACCCTGGGTTTAGCAGGCCAATGCTCAAACCACTGAGCTATCCCTCCCCTAAACATAAACGAGCAGAGCTTTGAAATGCAGCCTGCAATGTTAGCGGTAGAAGGGGAGATGTTTGCTCAGGGCTTGTGATGTCAGCAAACAAGTCTTGTCTATTGCTATAGCTTTGATTCAGAGATCAAAAAAGGAATATTAACATTTAGGAAGACACTGGAGGGAAAAAGTATTACTGTCTATGTATCTCTTGGAAGGTTGTGGTAACCTGGATCTGAACTGGTTACTGGACAAATTACCCTGTCCTAATTGCCGGGATGTTTGGAAGGAGAATTAAGCCTATTGTTTTCGCAGGCCGAAAGGCTGCTGGAAATGTATAAGAATCCTGGGACATGATTCTGCTTCGTCTCAGGTCTGCTTTGGGTTTCAAGAGGGGGAAATCTTAAGCCACAAGGATTGAGATCCCCAGTCACTGACTGGAGCCACCCTGAATATGGACATTGGACTATAACCTAGGGACTATATCTAAAAGGACTTTTGGCAACTACAAGCTCACCTCTGCTATGTATCTGAACCTCAAGAATTGAATTCAAGTCTGTCTGTATATTGATCTTTCAACTAACACTCTCTCTCTTTTCTTTTTTAATAAATGTTAGTTTCGTTAATAAGAATTGGCTATAGCGTGTATTTTGGGTAAGATCTAAGTTATAATCGGACCTGGGTATGTGGCTGATCCTTTGGGATTGGAAGAACTTTTTCTTTTATATGATGAGATAAGATTTTCAGAATTTATCATCATCGTATCTGACAGGTGTGTCTGGACGGAGGCCTGAGGCTGGGTACTTTAAGGGAACTGTGTTGTTTGGACTCTGAGTAACCAGTGAGGTACTACAGGAGCTGTTTTGTGCAGGTAAATCTAATATTGGAATATCCACCAGCGTTTGGGGTTGGTCTGCCCCGTTTTGTTTGCAGTTCACCCTGATTGAGTGACCTCAGCTGGCTCCCACGGGCAGCCCCTTCCTCCCTGTGTAACCCGCCCCAGGCAGCCCCGCCCCTTCCTCCCCATGTAACCCGCCCGGGGAAGCCCCGCCCCTTCCTCCCCGTGTAACCCGCCCTGGGAAGCTCCGCCCCTTCCTCCCCATGTGACCTGCCCCGCGCAGCGCCGCGCCCACCTTCCCTGCTCACCTAGGCACTGGGGGCGGTCCTGGCGCGCCGAGCACCGCACCTCCCCCTGCAGGCAGATGCAGGTGGTGCAGTCGTCCTTGTCCCAGGTGGCTCCGTCCTCGCGTTGCGTCCCCTCCCACACGCACGCCGGCCTCCGGCACTCGCAGCTCTCCAGGGACTTCACGCGGGCCAGCAGCTCCGAGCTCTGCAGGAGACAGCGGGCGAGCCGGGAGCGCAGGCTGGGGGGCTAGTGGGCAGTTGGGGGTGTGTGTCCTGGGAGCCAGGACTCCAGGGTTCTATCCCAGCTCTGGGAAGGCAGTGGGGTCTAGTGGGTGAGGGGGGGCAGGATTCCTGGGTTCTATCCCAGCTCAGGCTTTCAATGAGTTTCACGCCATCTTATAGCACTTTAATCTTGACCCCATTTCTCTAGGGAATGTCACATGGGACAAGCTACATCCCATCTACAGCTCCGCCCCCCACCCGTCGGCCAGTAACCCATCCAAGAAGGCAAGTAGGTTGCTTTGTTCCAGGCAAACCCCGCTGGCTGTTCCTGGATCCCCGAGGTCAGTGGTTCTCAAACTGGGGGTCGGGACCCCTCAGCGGGTCGTGAGGTTATTACATGGGAGGGTCACGAGCTGTCAGCCTCCCCCCCAAACCCCGCTTTGCCTCCAGCATTTATACTGCTGATAAATATATTTAAAAGTGTTTTTAATGTATAAGGGGGGTTGCCCTCTGAGGCTTGCTATGGGAAAGAGGTCATCAGTACAAATGTTTGAGAACCACTCATCCAGGTGCTCACAAGCCAATCCTTCCCTAGCGTCCAGGCACCAAAGTCAGGCTGCTGGGTCTCTAATTCCCCAGGTCCTGTTCGTTTCCCTTTCTCAGGACAGGTGCCACGTTTTCCTCTCTCCAGGCCCCGGGCCCTCACCCGCTGGCCAGGTCTCAAAGCTCATCGCTAGCGGTTCTGGGATTGCTTCGGCTGGTTCCTTAAGCATCTAGGGGTGAATTTCATCAGGCCCTGCCGACTTGAACACAGTTCACTTGTCTAGACATGCTTCACCCTGGGCCTTGCTTGGCGGCGTGTGCTATGACCCGTGTGAAGTATCCGCTCACATTGACTGCCTTACTGAAGCCAAGCGTGCGTGAAACCCGTCAGCTCTCCTGCCCGGCTCCTTCACCTGGGGC